TACTGGGAATTATATACCAAGCTTTTCCCTAAAATGTTGCGATATATTTCTGTGTAATTATTTTCCTATTCATTTCCAAATGACATTCTTTCTTTCAATATCCGCCATTGTTTTTTATATTATGTTTAATTTGAATTCAATCAATATTATAAAAGTCGAAAAAAGTTTTTAGTCTTCTTATATGTGATTAGTCTTCACGAAACAAATCGAGAATCTAATGTCACCATATATATGGACATGTTTATGAATTTCAATTTTTTGCGTTGTTAAATACATTATTTTTTGTATTGATTTTATGTTTTTTTAATTTTTTCTTGTATTTAAGACATTTTATTATTATAAATTGCGCACATTGTTAACATGATTATTAATAATTGTTATCATTATAAAAACACAAATGAAACGGTAATTATGATGCTGTATAAATAATAAAATATTGTTTATAATCCAAATAATAAATATACTATAATGCAAATAAACATAAAAAAGCTTTGGGTAGTAGGGGAATTCCTTTGGAAGTATACTAAAATTTTCTCTAAATAAATTTTAGAAAATAATAATAATAATTATAATAACTCGTACAAGTGTGGAATTTCTGTACTATTACTTCCCACAGACATTAATGAGAATGGATTATAGAAAATGAAACAATGAAAGGAAATGTAAGTTAGACATTAACTAAATAAAAAATACAATGTAAAACAAAAAAGTAACTAGTAAATAAGAAAAGATTATATAACTTTATATAAGGTATATACAAACATTGAAAACAAATATCAATAATATTTTAGTTAATAAACGAATATATATATAAAGCAGCAACAACAAATCATAAATTCATCAGATGCAAAAAAATAGATATATAAACACACAGCAACAGCAAACATAACAAAACGAACTGTATTTGAAAACCAATTATTTATTTTAAAATAGACAAAAACTCACTAAAAATCCCTTTACAAAAAAAATACAACAGAAAAGCGAATCTACATTTAAGAAAAGAAAAGATAACAATGCTTACAAATAACAAAAAACTAAACAAATCATTAGAAGACCCTAGGTTAAAATTTATACCAATAAAAACGAAAATAACAACATACGAAAGAGAAATGTGAATTAAAAATCCTCAGTTTTAATATTATTTGAATACAAATGTTAGCAAGAAAAACAAATGAAATTATATAATTTAATTAAAAAAACAAAACCATATTTAAAGCAAATACTTGGAAGTATATATTTAAACAAACAAAAATAATACTAAATGTTATTTAATCTTAAGCCTAAATATACACATACAAATACAGAGTTTAGTTGAAGATAAATAAATAGGAAGTAAACCTTTGTTATAACATAATACAGATTGTAAAATAATTTAATAATATTATTTCTACGAAATTTAAGTATTTGCTTTTGATTATTATTAGTTTTTAATATTAAAATAACAAATACAAAAAAAATAAATAAAAAACGCAAAAACCAAAACAAAAACAAACAAAAAAAAAACGAAATTAGTCACTTGGTGTTTTACTTCAATACAAAAAAGTGAGTCATTTGAAGTATGAAGGTATATTTTTAAAAATTGAATTGTAACAATTACAGCAAAATCCGTTAAAAACGTACACATATTTCGAAAATTTTATGAACCCAATCAAGGTGTATTTAATAAGGTGTATGCACCAGATACAACAACAAATATTTTACAAAAACAACATTGTTGTTATAGAAATTAAATTGTCATGCTGACAATCAGTTTTTGACAAAAATAAACAAAAACAATTATTAATTTATTTTTGTCAAGAAATATTATTTGAGGAATAATTCATGAATTTGTGTATCCTTGGGTTATTGGTGGTTTAAGGTCAGTGAAAAATAAAGTTTAAGACCTGGTCGCGATTAATTTTAAGTTTCCCACATGCAGTCCATGACTCCTTGTGATGTTGTTTATATTGTGAACTACAATCTATTTTTCTATGGAGTAGTGTCTTTCAATTTTGTTGCCTTCTTAAAGAAAATTGAGAGACATAAATCCCCGGCCAAAGACTAAATCATGGAAATTGTGTTGACCGTATAAAATCTTTCCATAGGCGTATTTAACCTTGGCTAACATAATCTCCTCCATTTTATGAGTATCAGGAATTTATGGACAGATTTCAACACATAACGTAAAATATGTGGATATGTTTGACGAACGGGGTTATAACTGATTTAAGCCTAGGTTTCCTTTCCGTCCGCCTCATGAATGTAGATTTCTCGAATTTTAATTATTAAAAAAGACTAAATTTAACCGCCATTTTTGAAATCGAAATGTAATATTTAAAATGTTTTTGACAATTTACTTTACAAACAATAAAGAAAAAAGTTTAAAACCATATGATTGTCACTTACACCTTATTAAATACACCTTGAACCCAATATTATGGGAATGATATATTCCATACTTTATGAAAACAATTAGTTATGTGTCAAGCCGTCACCTTTTCAAGTGATCTAATATTTGTATGGGGACAGAAAAAAGTTGGGAAGGTTATATAGGACCGATATCCTCGGTCAAAGAGGCTGACTAGGGTGTAAACCATGGTACAATTATAAAAGGTAACAGCAAATCCCAGCTGATTTGATTCCAACGTAATACTAGTGTCAATATGAATTTCACAAATTATGTTTTTAATAAAAATCACCCAACGGGAAAATTGGGAACGCATACAATTTGAAATTGTTCTTCATTAAATATGCTCCCGTACTCAATTTATTCAATCTGCCTGCTGGGAAAGTTTGAGGAACCTAATCTTTCTTCATTGAATAACTCGCAATTCCCTGCATTTTCATATGTGTTACACATATAAGTGGCTATAGCTCATTTATAGGAAGGATGTGGAAGCGACAGAAATATAAATTTGATAGATTTTCATTCATGTTTTTCAAATTTTATTTTGAGGATTCGAAAATATTTCACTTTCAAAATAAATATTATTTATTTGTTTGTTTACATTTTTCTGTCAAATGATGTTGACACTAGTATAACTTACAAAAACAAATTTCCATGTGGTTGTTGTATCGTTTGTTGTACAACAACACTTGCTGTTACCTTCTATTATTATACAATGGATGTATACCATGGTATAATTATTAAAAGGTAGGACATTGCTAGCAGCTGATTACAATTTTTTCCCAAAGTGGCCTGTTCTATAAATTTAAAAAATGTAATGTGTGTAATATTTTGAGTTCTATGTCAAATAAAATGAAATTGATATAAATTTAAATTTAATTGACATTTTTTAACGCGTTCCTCTGAAAGTTATTACTTTGTTATGTGTAAAACAAACATTTCATGGTATTCCCTACTGGACTTTGGGAAGAAATTACAAATTTTCATCCATGAGTTATGTGATGAACAAATGTGAAATAAATAAACAACAACCACTACCCACATAGTTGCTTTTTATAGAAACTATTGGTCTGTTCACTTTCTGAGTCGATTTATGCATGTCCGTCCGTCCATGTATTTTTTTGTGAGCAAAGTACAGGTCGAATTTATTATCCAAATTGGGTAAAATTTGGTACAGGTCACTTATTTGGTCTAATGACGAAGCCTATTGAAATTTGAGAAAATCGGTTCAGATTTTTATATAGCTCACATATGTATTTTCATCCGATTTAATGTAAATGGTAAACCAAACTCCTAATATTTGTCCGATTGAAACAAAAATTTGAAGAGCGTCTTGAACTATTGATGTATGCGAAGTTTTTTTGGGATCGTTTCAGATTTAGATACAGCTCCCATATATAGTTTCGTCCGATTTTATACAAATGGATCACAAAACTGCCAAGGGTTTTCCGATTGATATATATTTTTGTCCGATTCAATGTAAATGGTACACCAAGCTCCTTATATTTGTCCGATTGAGATACAATTTTAAACAATGGACTGAATTAGTTCCTGATTGATGTATGCGAAGTTTTGTTGAAATCGTTTCAGCTTTAGATATAGCGCCCATATATAGTTTCGTCCGATTTTATGCCAAGGTTTGTCCGATTGAGACAAAATTTTGCACAGCGTACTGAACATGGACCTAATTGATGTATGCGAAGTTTTGTTGGAATCGTTTCAGATTTAGATATAGCTTCCATATATAGTTTTGTTCGATTTTATGCAAATGGAGTACCAAACTATCCAGAGTTATCTGATTGAGATTTTGAACAGTGTATAGAATTTGGGGCTGGTTGACGCACGTAAAGTTTGGTTGAAATTGGTTCAGATTTAGATACAGCTACCATATATAGTTTCTTCCGATTTTATGTAAATGGCGCACCAAATAACTAAAATGTATCCGATTGGGACGAATTTGTGCACAACGTACCAAATCGAACCTAGAATAACATGTATTGAATTTTGTAAAATGTTTGCAGAAGTAGATATTACCACTCAATATTTTCGTCTGAGAAAATTTCACATTTAATTTCGTCCGATTCCAATTCAATGGTCTTGCAAAGATGTTATGAACTGATGAACTTTCCTTATTGATTTGTATTGTTGTACCCCATGTTAATTTGGTCCAAATCCGTTTTCGACAATTTGGAGTCGATTTACAAATGTCCCTCCGTCTGTGCATTCGAAGTATTTGGGAAAAACGGCTGAATAAAATATTTTGCCACAGCGGGAAGTTGAATATTTTTATACGACCAAAAATGTCATTTTAATAATCATTTCTTATTAATGCTCATGACTAGACTTTATAAACAGACCTATTTTTTATTGCTTTTTAAATCGATATAATTTTATTTATATCCACACATTATTATACAAATATGCTTGTATTTAATTCTATCAAATACGCTTAATCTACGAATTGGAGTTAAAATTAAAATCATTATTATTTAAATGTATACACGATATTTACACTTGTAAAACTAAACGGCAAAAACATAGTATTTGCCAATACAATTATATTGATCTGTGAAATAGATTATGTATGTATGTTATCTTGATGCTTTGATTCTACTTAAGATAATATAACTTCTTCTTTAATGTTATCATCTGTATCTATAGCTCCATCTGAGGTCTCAGCCCCTTCGGCCTCGGCCACTCTACGCTGTAAGTGACGCCACAATGTACTTTTAGAGATTTCATACAAATTGGCTGCATGATTTTGAGACATTCCCTCGTGAATACAAGCGTAAACGGCTTTGGCTAGTTTGACTTTCAGATCATCTTTGGATACACTGTCACGCTTTCGACAACTAACGAAATCGGGCAATTGTCCTGTGTTGGACAAACGAACTTTGTGACGGTGCAACGTTGACATGGGTATATCCAGATCTTGTGATATACTCTTAAGCGATTCTCCTGTCTTTAGACGTTCATACGCCTTCGCAATAATGGGGTTCTCTCGAGTTGTTTTCATATACTGCGGGTGTTTTCGCACCCGTCGCCATAGCACAGTTTTGGAAATATCATAGCGTACTGCAGCTTTTTGCAGAGACAAACCTTCATTAATGACTGCCTGACTCGCCAGTTCAATGACATCCACCTTTTCGTTATCTATCTTGGATACCTTCGGTAGACTTTCCACGCCTGTACTGCGAACTCTCCTCCAAAGTTCCGTTTTCGATACATTAAATTTAACAGCGGCCTTTGGCAGGGACATGCCTTCATTGACCATTGCCTGGTAGGCCAAGTCGGCAGCAGTTAAATTCGATGTGTTATTGACGTCATAGTTGGAATCATTTTTTGAATTGTCCGAAGCTATCGATTCATTTGCACTCGTATCCTTCAACAAGGCATAACTGCCATCGGGGCTGGAATGCAGCATAGACGACATGACCTCATCATCCGTGTTTTGAGCAACTGCTTCCATTTCATTGTGGGTTACTTGATGATGTTCCAGTTTTGGCATTACGCTGCCCGTTGCATGACTTTTAAGTTTAATCGTTTTTATTGATGGTTTCGCTTTCATTTCGATTATAGACGCCGTGGTAATGCTGGTTGGATTTGGATTTTGAGTATTGGTTTGTGTTGCAGTCGATACATTTGTTGCAGAAACACTTGCAACCTCGGCTCCACTGATATGTATTAATGGCTCATCTCCGCTGCTGTATTCCTCAATTATATGCGACTCACAGGCATCTTCTTCGTTTACCTCCATAGTGGTCGATTCCGAACTAGATGATGACTCCAATTTGGGATTATGGGTTAACGTGAAGGTTCCAGAATTTTCGGTTAAAATAAATTCATTGCCACTTGTAGAGCCAGGGACGTGTTCTATGGAATATGTGATTTTATGTTGAGGCTCATGTGGGTAAACATCTAGAAACTCCAACTCTCTATTTGCTTCATTATTGGATGTGACAGTACTTGAGTTTGCTGTCAAGGTTGGCTGGCTATTGGTCTGCAATACGGCGTGTGTTTCAATCAATTCTTCCTGATGCTGTATGGTGACCGTTTCTGACCCTTGGGATGCTGAACTTGCACTATCCTGTCTGTCCACACCTACAACACCAACATTAGATGAGGAATTCGACGCAACCAATGCATTGTTATTGTTGATGCTGTGATTTTGAGCTAACTGCATAGCATTCGTATGACACTCAAAACTGATGGCACTCTTAATGCCCAAAACATTTATAGCTTCCAGAAATTCCGACAGGCTGGACGACGATAGGGAGCATTCACCCAAATAGACAAATGACAGAACATTTTCCAACAGATAACCTTTAATGTCTGGCAGCATAATGCAACATTCCTGTTGTAACGGGACATCGCTGAGGAGGTTTCTCAGTAAATCGCTGCATGACGACAAAACAAATCGGTGTGCCTTGACAGAGCAATCCCCAGCCACCATGGTCACTTCGCAGCTTTGTAAATCATCACGCAAGCCTTTATGTATATCCAATATGGTAGCCGAATGACCCATCCACTTCAAGTGGTTCATGATGGTATTTTCGGTAGTATTTGCAGTTTGTTTTTATTTTGATTTTGAAAACTTTGTTTTGTTTTAATTTCTTTTCGTTTTTTTCTTGGCCAGAATAGCCAGAATGAAAACTGACCGACCTAATCTATAAACGTTTCGAACGCTACGAACAGGGGAGACACGAGAAAATGGTCGATAAATATCGGACTAAAACGTAAATGGCAAGGCATCCGACATGTTTACGAATGCGGGGTGAGGCATAACGCCGTGGACCAAAATAGCAATGAAACAAGATTCAGTGAACCAGAGTTGTGTAAATCGACTTTCGACTAACCAATAAGGACGAATTATATCTCCCTTTATAGGGTTTGTTACAGCCTGTTTTTGTAAATGTAAAATGTTCATTCGTTCGTCGAAAAAACGAACGATTACTCATTTTGGTTTTCGCAAACAAATTACCGGTTGTAGTGAGTGAGAAATAGGAAAGAGCTTTTGGTATTCGTATTTTTTTGGTTTTTGTTATACAAAACGGTGCGTTATTTACGAACAAAAATGTCAAAAACAAACGAAGAGAAAATACCATTCGTTTAAAAAATAATAATAAAGAAAACTATTTGTTCATTACAATTTGTATGTTGTTTGTGAAAAGAACGTAACAAACATGGAAAATTCTGATGAAATATATAAGAAGAAATGGTTTGTAAAAAATTATATATCCCTATGAAATGTAAAAAATTATATTGAATTGTTTGAACCCCTAGCAACAAAAGGACAACGATTGCCCATTTCCAAAAATTGGTTGATCTCATGGAACTTTACCCACAATTAGCAACTGGCCGTCCTGTTTTCGGATCCAATAAATTTGAAGTGGATAACAAGTGGAATAATGTAGATGTATCATTAAATGCCATAGGTATTCTCCTTTGGGGAATATTTTGCTTTTCTTTATAATTAAAATTAATTGCAATCGTACCAAACATTTTGAATTTTCTATTTTGACACTTTTTATGTAAAAAAAACTGTTTGTAAACAATAAACAGAGTTACCCTCATTTTGCAATAATTCTATTGGAAAATTTGCAACAAGATACCAAAAGAAACACTTTGGCACTAATGGTTAAAACGAATGAAAAAGCTCAATCGTTTCTAGACGAACGCTTTTACAATTATTACAAAAACCAAATTTTCGACGTATACGTTTTAATACGAACGATACGTGTGACTGGCGGAACAAATTACAAAAACAGGCTGTTAGACGTCCGTATTACGCAAATACGCAAGGACCTTATTTGCATCTGTGCCATTTGAAAACGGCGAAAGTGTATGAAAACATGTTTTTAATTGATCGATAAATATTTACTTTTATAGAAACACAAATGGTCTGTTCCCGTACTGCAAGAATCTACTTTTTTACTACGATAACAATTTTTCCTTTATGATATCGACAAAATTAGTAAAAATTAGGAGATTCTTGCAGTACGGAAACAGACCAATGACTGAAATTCTCTTTTCAAAAAAAACAAAAAATCCAAAATAGGTATTGTCAATGTTGAAAATTTTCAACTTCTATTTGAGGTGAATAAATTTGAACGCATACGGATGAAGTTAAGGTACATTAAAATTAAAGCCCATGGTATAACAATATAAGGTAATATCAAGGTCATTTTTAAAAACAAAATTTGTCATATTCATATGACACAGTATTACATTGGAATCAAATCAGCTGGGATTTACTGTTGCATTTTATAGTTGTACCATGATTAACACCGAACGTGATTTAAGCGACGTACACACTAGCACTTCTGTATAGCACTCTTGGCCAAATTTTGCTTGTTTGATAGTGTGGCCTCTGATGTTTGTCATTCATCAGGCAACCACAAAAATATCCATTGTTATTGGACAGTCAGTAATCGATATAAATACTGCCACTCAAAATGATAGTGTGTACACCGCTTTAGTCTATACATGATTGTTGATGGACAGTCAGTACTAATTGAAATAAATTTTCTGAGACTCTCCTTCTTGTGAATCAAAAAACTCAAATTTGTATAGTTATCACCTAGTATTGTACGAACTGAATGTACAATGAATGAGTTTTACGCTTCTTAAGCGGTGTACACACTATCACATTTGCATGACACTCTTGCCCAAATTTTGCTAGTTTGGTAGTGAGGAATCTCATGTTCGCACATTCATCAGGCAACCACGAAAATATAATCAATAAAAAACCGTCATCCAAAAGAGATACTATGTACACCGCTTAAGCTTTTTCTGATGGATGTGTTATAAAGAGATATATCCCACCATACAACATATTGCAGACAATGAACCCGCCATTGTATTTTTTTGGCAATTCTTAATCGAATACTCTATTTCATATTGTTGTTTTACGTTTTTCAACACTGCAGACTTTTGACAGATGATTGCTGTATTACATAAACTGTCAAATCAGAAAAATTGTGCACGGTTCAGGATCTCCAGGATTTAAATGGCTGGATTAATCAGAAACGTTGGCCTTAGATTGGCTACCCAAGTGGCAGCCAAAAATGGTAAATATTCAACACATAATCCTGCATTCATAACCACTATTTAATGATACAAAATTTTCCATGAAGGTGTTGCTGCGGCATCAAATGCTGGTGCTTTGCGTTTGGCCAGTACTGCGACCGATGCTCAATCGAACAAACGTAAGAACGCCCATCAATATGAATTGTGAAAAAAATAAGTAAATAAATATACTTTTCCCATAGCCACTATTCGCAAACCAAATGAGACTTCCCGAAGCCATTTGTCCGACTTTGGTCGTTATGTAGCTGAATGTTTGCCCAAATATGTACAAAAAGTTCAACTAACCTCTGGCGATGAGTTGGAGGTGTTGATTGCACCAGAGGGTGTTGTACCAGTTTTGCAATTCTTAAAGGATCACCATCAGGCACAATTTGCCAATTTGGTTGATATTGCTGGCATGGATGTACCCAGTCGCAAATACCGTTTCGAAGTTATTTACAATATTTTGTCATTGCGTTATAACTCTCGCATTCGTGTCAAAACCTACACCGATGAATTGACTCCATTGGACTCTTGCAACGAGGTCTTCAAAGCAGCCAATTGGTACGAACGTGAAATCTACGATATGTATGGTGTATTCTTTGCCAATCACCCCGATTTACGTCGCATTCTTACCGACTACGGTTTCGAAGGACATCCTCAACGTCGTGATTTCCCATTGTCAGGTTACGTCGAGGTAATAGCAGCAAACGTTCTATATAAACATAATTTACTATTTTTTTAATCGAATGCATTTTTGTAGTTGCGTTATGATGACGAGAAAAAACGTGTTGTATGCGAGCCTTTGGAATTGGCTCAAGAATTTAGGAAATTCGATTTATCTGCCCCATGGGAACAATTCCCTAATTTCCGTAAAGCATTGCCTGCATCGGAAACAATTGATACTGAGAAGAAGAAGGAGTAATTAAAAATAGTGAAATGTGAAAAAATGTCTTGAAGGCATCTGTATTGAAAATACTATTTTAGAAAAATAAATTGTTAATGAAACAATATCAAAGGTGTACATGTTTAATTAAAGGCTCAATTACAATTGATGTTTTTTAACGTACATGTTGGTACAAGGCCGAGTGTACGAAATTTGAATGTTGAACAAAATCATTTTCGTTTATTGAAAATAAAAGCAAAACATAATGAAGTTCAGTATTTTTATACAGCACATCGGGTTATATGTAATGCGGCTTCTTTGAAATAAAAACAAAACCATAGCGAAAAATATTACATTTTGAGTGAGATTATAAAGAAGTTCGCATGAAGATATGGATTAAACGTATTTGGATAATATAAAATATTTTGTCGTAGTGGGGATGTTAAATATTCTTGTACGGCACATCGAATTAAAAGTAACGTTCTACAACAAATAACTCGACTGTAATATCGAATAACTCCACTGTAATATCAGCCTTATGAGGCACACGCCTCATAGAAATATTGGTTTTAGATCCCATGTTTCTTTGAACCAAATCCGCTTCAGACAGTTTGGAGTCGATTGACAAATAAAGGTAGTAACTAATTCCATACAAATTTTGCACGTCATAATATTTTTTCCAAACTTAGTTCAAGTTGGAAAATGGGACACATTGGTACACTCCTTCTGGTATCTCCCCCACAAATGGTCAACATGTTCGATATTTATAAATCCAATATCAGCGAACGGACTATCCGAATGGAACCTAAATTTGTATAATCTACCCAGCCTAGATCAAGTGCGAATATGGAACGTACGGGAGGTACCAGAAGGAGTGATCCTTCTTGTACATCCCCCACAAATAGTCAAAATTTTCAATATTTATAAATCCAATATCAACCGATGAAATGGCCGATTTGAACAAAACTTTGCACAACCCATTATCTTTACCAAGTCGGAAGGTTGGACTCGGCGACCATCTCTTTCTGGTACCTCCCCCACAAAGGGTCTATATTTTCAGCCTTATTCTGGACATCAATTCACCGTGAATTTGGTAGCTCTTCCTTTAAAGTTATTCTGAACCAAAACTCCCAGCGTTTTTTTCGAATTTTCACTTTCCCCTTATTTTGAAGCGAAAGCGAAAAATCCTCTTTGTGGAATATTTAGTTATTCTGGATTACATTGAGTGGGAGAGTGTGATGACATTTTTTGCGAAAATTTTCGCTAATACATTTAAAGAGAGCTGACATCAAAAATATAAGTATTAAATATTTTTATGAAAAATTTTTACACAATACTTACAGCCTGTTTTTGTAAAATTCTAAACGAACGAATTCGAGTGACTTACGACCAAACTCCTTGGTTTGCAAAAATATGTCATTTATTTTTGTTTTGAATCAAGAAACATTTTTTACATAAATAAAGGTTTGGTACAAGGTGTATGCATCAGATACAACAACAAACATTTACAAAAACAACATTGTTGTTATAGAAATTAAATTGTCATGCTGACAAATAGGTTTTGACAAAAGTAAATAAAAACAATTATACATTTATTCAGGTTGAATAATTTTGAAAAGTGTCCCACATGTAAGCCTTGGTTCCTTGGGGATTTTGCTTATATTTTAAATTACAATATAATTTTCGAAGAAGTGGCTTCTTGGTAGAAAAATTGTAGGACATAAATCCTCGGTCAAACACCACAAACCCGTATGCAATCTCTCAATAGACTACGCAACAGAATCTCATTTTAAATTGTAAAAAAATTGTATTTAGCCAGGCGTTTGAAGAAAACTAATGGACAAATTCTAATACAAGCTATATAACACAATTTTCTTTTTCTTTTACAATCTCCTTTTTGGTATTAAATCGATCATAAGAACACACATATACATATGTATATTTGCAATCTGGAACCTAAGTTGTACATGCGACAAATATGTGGAACAAATCAGCGGCCGGATTTAGAACTGATTTAAGATCACGCTTCCTTGTCGTCACTTGGGGCATTAACAAGTATTCCGTCCCTATAAATGCATTATTATTGCTCTTTTATTAATAAAAAAATAATAATCGAAAACAAAAAACAATATTTTAAATCGAAATGAAACGTTGACAAATATTGTTGACAATTTACTTTAACAACAATAAAGAAAAAAGTTTAAAACCATATGATTGTCACTTACACCTTATTAAATACACCTTGGTACCAACCACCTTTATTATTATGACATGTAAAATTTGAAATAAAACTTTTTATTGTTTTTTGTCTTATTTCTAAATTTAATAATTTTTATTTTCAAATTTTTTTTTGGTACCAATTTTTTTTATAAACTAAAATAAATGTTTTATGACATTACAAATTGTTGTTTATGTTTACAACACAAAAAGTTCAGATTTGTTATTTAATAACACGTTTGACAACAAAAAGTAAAACGATACAATTTAACATAGAAGATTTCGATCGTATCTGAGGATTACTTAGATTTTTTTGTATACAAACAAAATACATACACACAATTTACATACATATATTTAAGATATATGTTCGAGTCGAACGTTTTGATTTATTTAAAATTCCTTAATTCATTAAAATTATTTTTTATTACTAATATTTGTTATAGACACACACACACACATTTACATAAAATAATTATTCATGTTTTTTTGTTTCTTCTTTAAAATCTCGTGCCAACAAATAATATTTTTTTTATATTTCGACATTTTTTAACTAACAGTTTTATAAAAATAGTTATTTTTAATTGCTTTCAATTATAATTGAAAACAATACAACAAATTATTGGCTTTAGTAAATAAGGATTTCCAATTGGGGAAATCCTTAAAGCCATACAAAGTTTTTTTTTAAGTTTAGAAAACATTTATTTAGAAGGATTTTCCTTTACTAAATACATATGATTGATTGCTCAAATATTCTAACATTTATCTAAAATATTAACCAATTTGTACTGAAAATAATGTTATATTTCAGTTTGTGTTATTATATTCACACTTATTATTAGTTTAGTATCTATTTTATAAAAAAGGTTTTAAATTTGAACCCTTTTTCAACAAACAAAATTGCCAATTACACAGTTTAACCCATTACAAAATACACTGTACTTGTATTCTTTGCAAAAAAATGTTTTTTTTTGATTCGTTATCATGTTTACAAAAATTTATTTATTTATATTTTTTTTTTTTTTTTTGAAACCATTTTATATGTTTTTCTTTTTGATTATTTTGTTTTATTTATTAAATATAAATTATTAAATATATTATTTATATAAAAAAATAAGTGATTTTTATTTGGTTGTTATGGCATCAAATTAGTGGGAAAGGAGTTTTCGCATCATATTGTAATAACTGCAAGTGCCTGATATTATGTTGAGTGTAATACTAGTGTCAATTTATTTTAACAACAAATATAAGTTGTCAATAATATACAAATGAATTTAAAACTATTAAAAAAAACAAAGCACCATTTTATCTAAAATAATTATTTATTTCTTATATTCTTTTACGAGTTGTAGTCATGTGTTTTTGTTAGGCATGGCATAATGATACAAGGCAGTCATATGTTTCCAATTTTTTAATAAATTTGCCTTTGACAGTATTCAGCTTTCAAAATTTAAATGAAAATATCTTCCTTTGAAATGTACGCATATCATGTGTTCAGTGGTATATACATTAGAACGTTTTACCGGGATAATTCACTTTATGTGGATTTATTTGAAATATATGCAAAGGAGTTGACAATTGAAACCCACTGGGGTTTTAGAAAATATATTTTGTTTAATTTATTGAAAATATGCCAATCGACATACAACCAAATATTGCCATGGAATGTATAATGGCAATATGGAATATTTATGCCGAATTTGATACAATTTGGAGGATAAATAAAGACATTTTGTGTGAGGATCTGTCTCTCCAGAAAAATATAGAATATTAAAAATTATAGAAAAACCACATAGCCAAATTGGCCTGATGAGCCACTTATGAAGAATAAGAAGAATATGGGGAGATAAAGTATCGATTTTCAGTAAAAAAGTACGCAATTATGTAGTGAAATAATAAACTGCGATTTAACTTTATTCAAACCCAGATTTCTTCCCATTATTCATTGTGTCGTTGACATCATTCAATGCCGATTGTGCCATTATTAAAAATGTTCTGTTAATTGTAATCTGTTACAGTTGTTGCACCAAATTGCATCAAAACGATAAACAGCTGTTTCACATGCTGCTGTATGTTGCCATATTTTAAAACTTTAATTTAATTTCTTTTAATTACAAAGCCATTTAAAAGCGGATTATTGATATTTCACATTTATATTGTTATAAAGTTTAAATAACAATAAAAAGTAACAATTTAAAAAATCAATAAATCTAATCCGCATCTCGCATTGTTTTGCTTCTCCCTATTCATTCAGAATAAGACGAGAATGTGAAAGCGAAAAAATGTTTACAAGCGAGATCTCACCCTAGCGAATATTCACAATAAGGCTGATTTGTCTGCCTTAGTTCCCGTTAATATTTACTCAGTAACTTCTTTTGAGAGAGAAATATATTTAAGTAAAAGAGCAGACAAAAAATCAAAAATTGTATAGACAACATTCCGTAAAAATGTTCTGAAGAAATAAAAAAAGTAAATACATTTTCTTCAATCTAAGACGAAGAATGTATCGGCATGACTAACTAGATGTTGTGATATTAATCAAATTAATAATATTATGATTTATACAGTTATTATATGTTCCCACTATTTTGATAACCGAAATATTCCCTGGAAGAATTAGCGCTCAACTCGTTATTTTAGAATACGTGAGTTTCTATAATTGCATGTCCTTGTTTTTTAGAAATCATTCTTTTAGTTTTTCGAAACATGCGGATTCAAGTAATTTATTATTATTGCATTTATTCATTTCAAACCCCGTTTAAAAACAATGAAAAAATCAAAAAGTTTCCGTACTAAAAATATCTGGTAAAGACCAAACAAAATGAGGTGCTCTTTATGCCATTTTTTCACGAAAATTTAATCACGAATAAATCGTAAGCAGTAAATCTGATTAGATGTTGTGTTAATTTAAAAATATTACAATATTGACATTTTAATTTGGCTTCCTTTCTCGTATTTTTTGCATAATTTTGTACTCTCAGAGCGATTTGATCACTACATTTCAGTAATTCACTTGTTTTCATTTCGTTAACAGCTGTTTTTAAATCATCAAACTCGTAATAAAATATTGTTGTTGTTCTTGTTTTATATAATTACAAAAATGCATTGACATAAAAATGTCGGTAGCTATTTCATTCATCTCGGGGTTAATCTGTGTTAAAATGGATAACATCAAAAATTATACGAATGTATTCCATTTGTCATTGTGGCATTACAAATATATATTTTTTTTGTATAACAATTACAAATAGTATTCCAAAAAATAAAATCAAATCAACTAAAACGTTTCCGTCGTTTTGGTATAATGTCGATTTCCACTTCCACCTGTTGTCACATTACCACTTTGTGAACTACTTCTACCATGTGATGATGATCCTGATGTATCAGCTGCCGATGAATTGGAGCTTGTTGCATTTTTAACTGTGCTATTGTTATTAGCAGTTGTTGTGTTTGCAGCGTTTTCTTGTTCATTATTTAGACGTTCGTGATATTCCTGGAAACATGGCACAATACATAAATTCGTTTGACATTCTGGACAATGGTATTTAGTTTTGCGTCGCAAAATTCTACCATGTCCATCGATGGTGTTCCAACAAAAATTACAACCCAATGCAGGTCCAGGACGTATGACCGGACAGTGACTAGAACGTGGATTTTCTAAGGTAATCATCTCCCTTGAGGTCTGAAAAAAAAACAGGTAAAAGAAAATGTTCTATAATAAATGTATAGTTTTTTACTTGATCGGCAAGATATCAACATGTCGATAAATGTTCTGCCCATTTTGAATGCAATTTAATATTGAAGCATGTCATATGCCTTATATTGGACTTCAATTCACCGTGAATTTGTTCGCTCTTCCCATTAAAGTTATTCTGAACCAGAATTTGCAACGATTTTTTTTCGCATTTTCACCCAATATGCGAAAAAATCCGCATTGGGGGAAAATTAGTTATTCTGGATTAGAAGGAGTGGGAGAATGCGAAGACATTTTAAGGAAGTTGACTACAAAAATATAAGTACTAAATATTTTTAAGAAAAATATCTACACAATACTTATTCTATTGAATATTATAAATGCATATTTTTAACTCAAAAATAACAAACAAAATGTCATTGGAAATCATATTTATACCGACGCATGCTCAACCAAATATTGCCACGGAATGTATAAAGGAAATAAGGAATGTGTCTTTGACATCGGGAACACACATTACAACTTAAATTATAGTATGGGAACACGAACCTTTTTTAACAACCATTTTCGAAAATTTGAATCTGCATCTCACATTTTTTGCTCCTCACTATTCATTCAGAATGTGAATGTGAACGGGAATGTGAAAGCGAAAATTTGTTTCACAAGCGAGATCTCTCCCTAGCGAATATCCAAAACAAAGCTGTATTTAAAATAAGAGACTCATTTTGCATTTTATGATTTTTTAAAAAAATTATCCAGATACCAGAAGAAGTAGATCGATAGGACGAATCTTTTAAGAAAAGTTTTAATAAAATCTTGAAATTTAAAATTTTCCACAATGTTGACAAACATATTTACTAGAAACACTGATCCAATAATAGTCATCTTCGAAGTTAACCAAATATATTTGATATCCGTCCCCTTTTTTAATCGAATTGGTTGTAAACATGGTATTGTACCATGGTTGTAATTTGGTATTTTAAGTTCCCATGGAGTAGCATATTTCCCTACCAAAAATTACTGATATTGGTTTATTGTTTTAGGAAAGCTCTTATATGGCGGTACCCCCGATTATTCACGTTTTTAACCGAATTGGTTGAAGTTTGGTTCTCATTGGGTGTCAAATCATCCTACCGTTTCCACGACAGAGGGGTCTACGATCCGAAACGACCCGAGTCTTACTCTGCCAACGTCTGTCACCTCAGCCAGTTGTGTAAAAGCAATAGGGCTGCTACAACAACCAACAAAAACAAACAAAAATTACCATGACATAGCCCGCCATTTGCAAAGACCCGAACAATTTCTGTTATTTTAACTCACCACCTTATGGTGGACGTTTTTTTTGTTTTAGTAACACTTTTGATTATAACATACCTGTGGAGATGATACCGATCGTTGCAACTCCTCGCTTCGTACACGTAATGTTGGTAAATGTTCCAATGAACTTCCACCACCCGATGAAGAAGTACTGCCGCCTGCCTGAAGGGAGCTACTACGTTCGGTTTGCATAACTGCCGATACAGATTTAGAGCTACGGAATTTACTAGCAAGTCCTGCGTTTGCCGAAGATAATCCAGTCGACATATTTGTGGCTGTTGTAGCCACATTGCACGATACAACCGTTGCTTGACTATCTTCAGATATACTGCGTTCAGACAGCTGTGTTGAAGGAACTCTTGGTATGGGCGGTGAACCCGCGGCAGATGTCACAGTTCGTTCACTGCTCAAATATGAAGATTGAAATTGTGGCAAACTCATTGCTTTTGTGGGGCTGGCACTACTCGCTGGAGTCGTAGTGCTGCTATTACTATTGGACGAAGATGGGGTCTGTGCTGGATTATTTGTGGTTGTCTGAGGGACAATATATTGCGATGAGCCGGCCGGTGGCGGTGAAGCGGTTTCATAAATTGATTCTGGTAATGATATGTGTTGAGAATGTTGTAGGGGGGCACTTGAAGCCAGGTAGGCTCCAGTTGCGCTTCCGGATAATGGATGCGAATATTGACGATGCAAAGGTGCAAACGGATTTGTAAGATTACCACTATTCGATGGCGAACCACTAACACCACTAAGATGATGACCAGAATGTTGGCTAGGCAATAGGGGATCCGAATGTTGTTTTATCAAGAAAGGCGTTGACTGCGGCACGGTTAAATGGTGTGACGATGTGGGTGACGAACTGGGCGCTGGCTCCGACGAATGACGTTCGATTCGTGAGGGAACTGATAGGAAATTGTGTGCCTGTGAGTGATGGTGAGCATGTTGATTTTGATGAGCATTTGCAGGCATAGGATGATGGCCGGTCGATGTGTACAGTGTTTGTGAAGAACTATTGAATGGTTCGAAATCTAGACTGCCCGTCGAGGGTTCAGGTGATATCTGACAACTGGATAAGCTGTCACTGTCACGCTTAACACGTGGCTGCCTTGTAAGTACACGATTGCGTTTGGTACCCATTTGGGATTGTGACTGTTGTTGTTGTTGCTGCTGCTGCTGTTGGTGAGATTGTGTTAAATTTTTTGCCACACCGTGTGCTCCATCATCCGTTATGATATTACCAACTGCAGGTGTTGTAGAAAGATCTGGAATTAAATTGAAAAGAGATATATGATTTTAAGTTATGTGTTTATTTCAATTGCTATTTAGGATTCTGATTGAAATCCCCACCAAATATTTTTAATATTTTCGATTCAGGACTAATATTACAAACAAAATCAATATCAGTATTGACTCAACATTCGGGGTTACCCCTTCTTATTCGATATTTTAGGGAACAAGTTCTTCTACTGAAGTGGCTCTGATATGTTGTCAAATATTCCTACCAAAAATTGTCCATGACTTATGCCCTCCCGAATTTCCGGATTGGTTTTAGAACTTTTTAAGGTCCACCTAATGGACAGGACAAATATCCACAGTAGGAAGAGAAAACAATCAAGTGCATATATATTTGTTTGTTTAATATATTTACTTCTTTTCGTTTTTTTATATTATACCACATTGAAAATTATAAACTAGGTTTACGTTTCGGTAATTTGTTAATAAATTATTTGTTTTTGTTTTTTGTATGTATAATTTTAATACTAAATAGTTTTGTGGTAACAGTATTATACTGTATTTTTAGTTGTATTTTAAATTAGGAAACATGTTCGGTAGTATATATTTTTTAGTTTTATTTCTGTTTCTACTCTTTTGAATACATAATGCAATTTGTTGGCATTATAAAATTTGGTCAAAATTCTATAACAATGGTACTGGTATGGATCTATATGATTTCGTATTATTGTATATATTTGTATTGTTTACTGTATATGAATGAGTGTATGTATGTATACGGGTTTGAATATGTCTGATTTTGGTGTATTGATTTTCTTCAACAGTATGCATACTCTTTTCGTGGAGAGGGAAGGAAGAGGAGACTTTGAGTTTATGCATATTTTACGATTTGTAATTTGGAACATGAACCTAGAAACAGAACACATAAATAATGTTCTACTTCGTTTAAGAAAATACAATAACATAAAAAATTGTCATGTATATGTTATGAGAAAAATATTTATAATACATCACAAAAGCTACTTTTAACATGTATGTCTATATATATATATATGTATATTGTTATATAATATGAATGTATTCTGTAGTAATACACTCACACTTTTTTTTATATAAAAAGAGAAATAATATTTTATGGCGATATGAATGCTATACCATTACAGTATTATTTTTTAATTGATTTCAATGTAAAAAGTGTAAAATCTGTTATCTTAATAATTACATAGTAAAACATTTATAAAAGTTCGGTGTTTATTATTATTATATATTTTTTTAATTTTTTACAATATACTGTATACTATTATGAAAACTACTTGGTGGAGTACACTAAATATTATTCAAGTTTTTGTTTTTGTATGTATTTTCCTGTTTTGTAGTGAATATGACATTAGTAGATTCCTTTTTAATACAAAGTTTTGTAATTCTTTAATATGTAAGTAAAATTCTTTAAAAATTAAGGAAAAAAGAAAGAAAATTGAAATGAACAACAATTTGCAATATTAACACACTTTAGTTCTTCCATAATAATTTATTCGTGCATTTTTAATTTATTAAAATTAATGTTGGTTATAATACAACTGCTGTACAAATTGTAGTATGTAGTAATTACTGTCACCTTGTAAATATGCATTTTACATACGAATTGGTTCCAATTTTTGTTTGTAGTGTTCATAACCAACATACAACCAGCTCATTATAGATTAAATTCATATAACGGCGGTATCAAGAATTTTTCGTTATTTTTAGAGGGTATATAATATAAAATCGATAGATCTGAACATGGCTACAATTTATAACAAAAATCGATCATCGGTTTTATATATATTGGATTATATAGAACCTGAATTTGATGGTACTGTTTCATCAACTAAACAGAAACCTATATAGAACAATTTTTATAATGAAGGTAGAGAGAAATCGATAATCCACAAAATTTTTTAGAAAAATTGGCTAAAAAATCTTAGCTGTCTTTTAATTCAGCCAGATCATGAAAATAAAAATTAATTTAAAGCAATTTTTTGGAATTTTTCAATTTCTTTTGCTACAAAGTTTCTTCCAAAAAATCAGTTTTCTTTGTCCAATCCCGTCAGTTTTGTGAGTTTTTTCTAAAGGAAAACGCAAACGCTACTTTTGTCTTTGAGGATTGATTTTCATTGCGGATATTTATATTCATAATAAAAGGAAAATGAAAAATTCCTTGGGGATTATTCTGTGCATAAGGTAGATGGATAAAACAGCAGTATATATTATTATGAAAGAAAATCTATAAATTGTAGGCGGATTTTTAATATTAAGTTGGGGGAAAAGTAATCCATAATTTTTTCGACAGATGACTGTACTGATAGATTCCTCCTAAAGTATCGATCAACCAATGCCAGATTTATGCTCGTTGGAAAGGTTACATTTCGCAGTAAAAAAATTGAGTTACAAGGTGTTAAAAATGGAAGTGAACAAAGAGAAAATTCGGTATATTTTAAAGTTTTTCTTTGACAAAGATGAAAATGCAAGCCAAGCGGCTAAAATTGTGAATGGTGTTTATGGTTCCGATACTGTAACATCCAATTATGTGCAATTTTGGTTTGTAGATTCCATACTGGACAATTCAAAGGGATTTTTGTCATTGTATACTAAATCATATTAATTGAACATATTCTCCTTTGCTTCGATTTCTCATAAATATTCGTACAGAAGTTTAAAACTTCTCATTGTCTTTTTCAGGACTACAGAATATATTCCTTTCAATTGTCTTTATAATTTTAAAAGAAAAAAATGATATATGTATATAGAAAAGATTCATTAAATAGATTTTGAAAAGAATTTGTAAGTTCTTTGTAAACTTATTTCGAGTTTAATCATTTGCAGTATATTCTTTCTGAAAATTAAAAGTCCAATATCAAGAAAAGACATTTTAATATTGACGAAAAACACTTTACATTACTCCATAGATTATTTTTTATAACTATCAAAACTATTTTTAAGGGTAAAATACATAGAATTCGACATCAATTCACCATGAATTTGTTCGCTCTTCCCTTTAATGTTATTCTGAACCAGAACTCGCAGCGAATTTTTTCGCATTTTCACTTCCCCTTATTCTGAATTAAGTTCGAAAGCGAAAAAATCTGCTTTAGGGAATGGATTACAGGGAGTAAGAGAATGTGATGACATTGTGTGCGAAAACTTTCGCTTAAAATTTGAAGGAAGCTGACTACTACACAAAATATAAGTATTAAATATTTTTATGGAAAATATCTCCACAACAGTTACTCTATGACTATTTTGAATATTATAAATGGTTGTATGCATATTTTTAACACAAAAATAACAAATGTCATTGGAAATCCTATTGATAACGATACATGCTCAACCAAATATTGCCAATTTCTTCCCTTTGTGTTCGTTGTGCCTTTGACATCGTTCAATGCGGTTTTTGCCCTAATAAAAAATGTCATTTTATTTGTAATCTGTTGCAGTTGTTAACATGTCGCTGCATGTTGCCTTATTTTCAAACATTAATTTATTTTCTTTTAATTACAAAGCATAATAAATAAAATATTGAAAAATATTACAAAATTCAACCATCATTTCGAAAATTCGAATGTGCAACTCACATTTTTTGCTTCTCCCTATTCATTTAGAATAGGGAGAAGATCACACAAGCGAGATCTTTCCCTAGCGAATATTAACCCTTTGAGCCCCGATTTTTTCCGCAAACTTAGAACAAATTTCTGTTCACAGATTTAATGCAATTATCCTAAATAGGATATGCACAAAATTTGACATCGATATATCCTTGCATTCGGGAGATACAGTACATTCTTTCGGAAAAAATAAAGTCCAATATCAAGAAAACCAAATGCAAAATCTTCAGAAAAATCATTTTAAATTATTCCTTATATTCAATTTTTCAAGAATCAAAAATAATTCTGAGGGTCGAATTTGTACAATTTGAATACGAAGCGATTTAAATAATTTGGACTGTATACACAAATTAGTACTGTACACAAATTTACCCTCTTCTCATAACTTTACCAAAATTTTGAATTTTTTTTGATTTTTCTTTTGATATGTGTAGTCCACAATCAGGTCTTGACATATGAAATCCAAATAATACATATCTACTAGCTGCATATAAAATATAAGCACTAAAACACAGGGTTAAGAATAAGGCTAATAGTTATGCTTTACAATATGCCTACACAAAAAAAGTAAGGATCTATACTGCAAATTTCTGTCATGCTTTCGCATATTGAAAACTCTTAATGAATGTCCGCCAACCAACTGTCTTGTGTTGTCAAGTGGTTAATAAAATTAAAAAAATAATATCATCCCGAAATAGGTAAAATAAAAAAGAAACAAAAATAACATAATATGTATATAACATATTAAACATAAAATGAAAATAGGCTATTTAAAATATCAGTTTTATTATTATTTTGTTTCACTTAACTAAGACAATTCTTAATTTGATCTTACACAAGAAAATTAGTTTATAACTATTTAAATCAAAGTGCTAAAATTAAAAACATATGATTTTAAAATGACGAGAGGATAGTTTTATAAAAAAGAATGAAAGAAACATAATTTGCGTTTAATTATTAAGTTTAGAGTTATAAACTTAAAAAAATGGCCATGTATTTATAAAAATATGTGGACTTTTAAAATTATATTGGTATACACAATTATAGTGGACTCAGTGTGTAAAAAATAAAATAAATATTCTTTCTCAGCAGAGAAACTAGATATGAATGAAGAAAACAACCTGTTTGGTTTGATATTCTACGATTTATACGAATATTTGTGCACCAATTGTAATCGATTTATATGTCAAACCAAAAAGTTTAAAATGTTCAATAACAAATGCTAGAAACTGTACAAGTTAATGAAATTAATGAATGTTCTTTGTTAAAATATGTTTTGTTTATATATTTTACCTTTCTTTTGTAATAGTTTTTGTTTAAACAAATTTCGAGAGTTGTAAACATATTTAACATTTTCATGCAACAAATGCATATTTACGTAGATGTTCTTTGTCTGATTTGTTTATTATTATTATTTATATTTAAAATGTCCCTGTAATTTATAGAAGAAATCTAATTCTGAAGAGAGTACCACCACGGTTAAACATGGAAAATCTTGAAAATGTTTTATCTTAATTTTAGTTTTTTGTTTGCACTTTTTCTATAATTTTGGATATTATCTCCAATGTTAGTGTGATAATTGAAAATATTTTATCATGGGAATATGCCAAATAAATAAATAATTTATTGCAATATGTTAAAGATTCTTTGTACATATTTTAGTATTTATTTTGTTATATTTTCAGGAATTTTAAACCCAAGGACCACGAGTGATTTTTTTACTAAGTATAATTTTCTATACAAATTAATTCTTTAACAAATCAAATGATTTTGAAATACGAAAAATTAAACATTCAGTAAATTCAGCCTATTTGACAACTGTTTAAAGTTCTCAAGTTTTATTGCATCTTCTCAAAACTTGTGTGGGCTATGTAAATTGTTTTAAAATGTATATATTTTTTAATAAACATTAATTAATAAAATGATATACCGCTTTTAAACGTATTATAAAACAAACGAATTCTCGAATTATAATAAATAGTATTCTAGAATATTAAACATTTATACGTTACAACCGAGATGTTTTCCCAGATACCTGAAAAAAAAACTTTGCGCAATACAGCATTCCCTCGAATATTAACTATTTCAATACATCTGTAGTGCGATTCTGTAACTGGCTAACGACAGAAATACCGATGATTGTCGATAAATAAAAAAAATCATTTGTTAATAAGTTCGTTAATTAACGAACATTTTCAGATAGATAACAACCAACATTAAGTAGTCAGTCATTAAGCCCATCCGATAGATACATAGAAGTTAACACAAATGTTCATTTTTGTTCCTTTGTTATCAAATTTACACATTTTCAAGATTTTCCATATTAAACAATGAACAAACAAAGGTGCATGTTTCACATATGCTACTATTATATACTCATCAATACGAAATATATTTCTTATGACGAGATAAAATAAAAACGATTTTACGAAAAAGTAAAAAACCGGTAACGCTTAGACAATCTACGACGGTGGTAATGGTGTCAGCTTAGCCATATAGGTTGTTGTGGCATTTTCTGTAGGATGTACTATTATCGGTGTGGCTGTCGCATAATTTTGTACATATATTGTGGTTGACGGCGGCGGCGGCTGATGGTTTGGAGGATGATGCGATTGGGTATGTGCTATTAAATTGTGTGATGGTGTTGGCATTTGATTATCACATGATACGGCATTTGCCTGCAGTATAGCTGCAGCAGCTGTTGCTGTGTTTGTTAGGCAGGGGGCTGATGATACCGCCGTAGACACTGAGATAGATGCATTTGCATTTGTTGCATGGGAGGGCGGCTGAACGCTTGTTGTTACACTGCTTGCCGCCACTGCATGATGATGATGGTGCAAATGCATCGGTATTATGGGCAATGCCGCATCAGTTGTGGCTAACATAGTCGCAGATTGTCCCGCAGACGTTGACATCGAATTCTATATTGAGTTAAAATTAATACTCTGTAGATTCATTGCAGCAGCTGGATTCACATTTATAGTACCGGTGCCGGCACCACCTCCGGCCCCGGTTGCATCAATGTAACGCTGGCGGGACATTGAATGTAAACTGGCTGGAAAGTCCATGTGGCGGGTGTCAAGAAAACTCATTACACCCATGGTAGGGTGAGTTGTAGGACCACCGGTGGTACCGGTATGGTGGGGTGCGCACATTAGAGATGGCGTCGGTGTATCCGATGAGGGTGGAATTTGCATGTTCAAAGCCGCTGTTTGTGCTGCAGCTACTGCTGCTGCCATATGGTCGTAGTTTTCATTGGTGTCATCTTGGGCATTATCAGGTGGTGTTGGCGAAGGTGAAAGATTTGGTTCCTGTTTCACTACGCGTGACTTTATGCTGGGCCGTGACACGGGATAACCTCGCTTTTTATACTCCAACCATAGAGTTCGATTGTTGACTCCATAGAGTCGCGCTGCCTTGCAAAATCCAATTCCACCAGAACGCACTGCCTCAAGAGCTCTAATGAAGTTTTCATCTCCTTGTGGATTAACGGATCTTTTCCGTTTTATATTGGCATTGTTGGCGTTATTATTTCCAGTCATATTATTCCCACTACTTGTTGTCGAACTATTGGCTGCCGGTGATGCAGACGGCGACGGTCCCTGGCTATAAACCGACTGAACCATATTACTATCATTGGGTGAGGGTGGAGACATATTTTGAGCGGCGGCAACAGCAGCGGCAGCCGCTGCATTAGTATAGCCACCACTGACCGTAATTATTTGCGGGGAGTATGCAGAATTTTGTTGTTGCTGCTGTTGGTACTGCTGCAGTTGCTGTAAGTGTTGTTGCTGCTGTTGTTGTTGACTATTCACAGCGTCTTGCTGTTGCTGTTGTTGTTGCTGCTGCTGTTGACGTTGCTGGTGTTGCTCACTATTTGAATTGTTGTTGCTATTGTTGGCATTTGGATTTTGATTGTTGCTATTGCCAATTAAATTGGTGGGACAGGATGGCAGCGAAAAGCGTGAATAATTTGATTCAACAACCGTCCATTGTAAACCTGGGAAGGGGAGAGAGAAGAGAGTTGGTGGTGAGAAAGTTGTTTTTTCATCATCAACATAATGAAAGAGAGCCATTTCAATTTTTAGTAATACAAATATTAAGTTTACTTGCAAAAACTACTTTAGCAGATCAATTTACAATATGTAAATGGTCAATAATTGTTTATAACAATAAATTTAAATAAATGAAATTTAACAACTTTATTGGGGGGTCTTCATATTATGTTTCTTTGAGAAAGAGAGAGTTTGAAGAATTTTTATTGCTTGCATAAGTTGCATACTTTAATATTTGAATTTTCAAAATTATATTTATGAAAAAATATATAAATTAAAAAAAAAAATAAATAAACAAGGATAATAATTGAAATTGTTTAAAGTAAAAAATATATAGATTTTTGTTTTAAGGACTCTGTGCTATGACTAGCTCTCTCCTGTTCCCAAGTTTATTGTTTCGTACTTAGTTGGTTTCAAAAGCTTTTCATGGAGGTTGTGAAATTTGGTAATTCACGTTTTTATTTTTCTTTCGCATTTGATTGCACTTCGAAATTGTATGTTCAATAAAAAACAATTATATAATAGTATATACACAAAAATTATGACACTGAATTATATTAATTTAAAAACAAATGTGCTTGGATGAAATTTAACTTTTCGTTTATAAAATACTTTTTGGTTGGAAATAATGATAAAACGTAATAATAAAAAAAATAGAACTGAAGAAAAAAGGGTTAATGTGGCGTATCGTTGTGAATTTCGTGTTGTAACAGGCGAGACACATTTAATAGCTACAGAGTTATAGCAAAATAAATTCGTAATTGTTATAACAATAATTAAATTATAGTGTTGAAATGTTTCCACTTAAATTGAATTCAAATTCACCTAACATATAGCAGTTGGGAAAATATACTTCAGGTTTTTACACAGAGAAATAGTGTAAAAGACTATACGTTGCGCATGTATACAGTACCAATTTCTGTATACAGTTCAAATTATTTAAATCGCGGAATGTACACTCAAAATTATTTTTGATTCTTATAAAAAAGAATCCAAGTAATAATTTAAACTGAATTTGCTTCTCTTGATCTTGGGTTTTTATTTTTCAGAAAGAAGGTACTGTCTGTATCCCCCGAATGCAAAGATGTTGCCACGTCAAATTTTGTTCGTCTCCTACTTAGAATAGTAGCAATATATTGATACACAGGAAATAGTTCTATGGTCACGAGAAAACAATTCGGGGCTCAAAGTGTTAACTGCACAGTTGCGATAGTTTTCTCAAAATGTTAATTTTTCAAAAATAATTGTTATTAACGGCCCCTTTTATCTTATACCCTAGCCAGCTATGTTGTGAGGGTATTAAATTTTTGTGTGGCCGCAAAAATTTATAACGCCACGAAATATTACGAAATATTTTGTATACCGGTCATATCTAGACTAGCTGAGTGGATCTTGACATGTGTGTCCGTTCGTGTGTCCATTATTATTTGTAAACCAAGTACAGGCCACAATTATGGATCTATCGGGCAAATGGATAGGTTAATTGCAAATAGGTTCGGTTCTGGCCAAAGACGACACCTATTGTATTCGGTTAATATTAAGGGGTTGGAAAGGAGAAACAACTTCAAAACTAGTTGTTATAGATGTCATAATTATGACCCGACCATCGCGAAATTTTGAACAAAGGGGGTTTTGCCAAAGAATAATCATGATTTTTTTTATGAAGATTGGCAAGTATAAAACGGGTCAAATGGACTCCAGAAGGGTCTAGACCGGAGATGTTGGCAGTAAAACCTATTAAATGGATAATACTTATATTGGAATATTTACACGGATATGGGAGTTACTTATGTCTATGTATTATGATATCCCTTAGTATTACTGTATTTTACATGAAGTTCCGGTTATGGTCAAGGACGACGGTTTATATTTTTCTGCGATGAAATGGACCGACAACTTTATTATTATAAGCCGAACTTCGCACATTTTACTCGGAGGGGAATCTGGTTGTTTTTATAATGGGCAGTCAATTTTTAGGGCTCAAATGAACCAAGAAGTAAATGTTCATATCGGCAAACATGATCCGGAAAAGTTATCAGTGTATGAAAGAGGAACAGATGGGCGTGGTCGGATATGGAAGAAATACTAAAAAATGTTTATATGTAGACGCCATATTTCAGTGGGTGCAAAAGTCGCAAATGCGGGATATAGATCCGCAGTAAGTTAAAAATCTATGGTCGACCGAGTGCCCATGATCCCTGCACTAGACGAGGCGAGAGTAGAGCCTCTAAATATTCATCTCAGAGGTCTTCAGTCACTATCTCCCAAAGTGATTTCCCTAACGCTGGGGTGTCAAGCGATCTCGAGCCCATTAGTGTTCTACGGTTTGCAGTCAGCCTTAGAACGGAGCCTTGTTGACACCTGGGCGACTCAACAAGTTGTCCAGACTTAGTTGCCATGGCCGACCTTAAATCCTCACTTAAATCTTTATGAAGCATTAATAGAGGAGGAAGACGCCATGTGACTCTTCAGAATCAAGGTGAGTCCTCTCAGATGATGTGTAGGGACGTAAACCTTGGTCGTCGAAGTGGAAATTGGGGCTGATGAGCTTCCCATCGTAAAGATGGATGAATCATCAGAACCGGTAACCACTAAACGAGCCAATGCCACTGAGATCTGAGCGGTTAACTACTGCAACCGGTTTATCGGACAGGACAGACAATCGATAACGGATAAGGAGTTCCTTCTGATCAAAAGGTTTATTGATATTGCGATTGAAATGGTATTGCGAGCGACTTCTTGATCAATAGGATTCCTACACCACGTGCGAATTCCACGACGGAAGCCCCTCCAAAAGAGGAGAAGACTGTGAGTGGACCAAGCACAAATAGGACGTTGGTGGCTGGGACGTCTGATCGTATAGATGTCTCCCATGGATAGAACATCTTTAAAAAGTTATATACAAGACCTTTTAGTCACATTCTATGGACTTTAAACGTTGACGTAGCCATCCTAATTATTTTGACAAATTTAATTTGGTAAATTGCTGGTCTCTTTTTTTGAAATTTATTTTTTAAAACATTCTTTAAGAAAGATTGTATAACAAGAAACAAACATTGCAACTATTAACAGATGGTCCGAATATTCTGCAAATATATCATACATTATAAAATATAAATTCGATATCATTTATTTTTACTACGGGAAGATAACAACTGTTATTGCATGAAATATGAGTTGTCGACTTTTGGCAACAAACCATAGTTGTATTCTCAAAATCAAGATAAATCAATTCTATATCAAATAGGAACATTTCTCCCAAGCCTAATGACATGTTTTACTGATGTTTTTATGATTTTAAACAGACAGAGGATTAAGTGTGTGAGGTGAACTGTGAAATACACTTACCTGAATGTGCAGATTGTGAATTGGGAGCATCGTGTTCCGAGGGAGTTGTGGCTCCAGATATATCCAATGGCATTGATTGTTGAACACCACTGATATCCACTTCCGGCTTCTAAAAAATATAAATAGTTTATAAACATTGATTTTTTATGAGAAATATTTCTTTGATATTTACAATTTGCATATGTACATGGCCATGGGTATCGTCTAAACTATCTGAATCTTGGGGATTATGTTCCAAGTCATTGGTTGAGGCCTCTTTGAGTAGTTTTGCTGTATGCAGCGAATGTGCTGCTAAACCACCAAGAGCGCTGTTCGTGGCCGTACTACCGAATGTCATTTGACTCATTTGTGATAGAGTTAAACCACCCGCTGTGGCAGCATCCAATGATGTGTTATGATCTTCGGAATTGGTGCGTTCACCCGAACCTAAAAGTATATTTTTGTTTATTATTTATTATGGTTATCATTGTTTGATTTGAAAGCAATTTTCGTACCATTGTTGGATGACTTTCGTAAACGTTTTCGTCTGGTTGCCGGTGAGGCGCCCGCGCCTAATGGTGATGGTGTGCGTCTTAATTGTTGATGGTGTTGTTGTTGCTGCTGTTGTTGTTGTGAGGTTTGTGTTTGACTATTTTGTAGCTGCGTGTGTAATTGTTGTTGTTGCTGTTGGTGGTGATGTTGCTGCTGTTGTTGTGCCTGTGCTTGTAGCTGCTGATGGTGTTGATGTTGCTGTTGTTGTTGCTGCTGGTGTTGTTGTTGTTGCTGCTGATGTTGTTGTTGCTGGTGCTGTTGAAATTCTGTACTACCCCATAAGGAGTCGCTTACACTGCCAGTACCACTAGTGTTGCCGAGACCACCACTGCTGTTGCCACTGCCGCCACCACTACCGCTACCACTCATAACATTATTTCCACCACCACCAACTAATTCTGTTGCTTCGTTTGATGATTTGCTTTCAGATTTTGTTAAATTTGCAGGATCGGTGGGCATTTCAGCTAAACCTTTGATTTTTAGCATTTCGGCCGTTTTCAATATATGCGGCAATTGTTCTTGCGATACATTCACCTCACCATAGTACATAAAATCGACCATTGTTTTCAAGTCATCGTACTGGACATCTTTTAAAATTACAATGGGATGTTGACATGGATTGGAGGTGAAAAGTGTCTACAATTAAGAGGAAGTAAAAAACAAATTTCAATTAGATATCTGTGAAAAATATAAGTTACAAAATAATGAAATTATTTTAAAATATTAAATTAAAATATAAACATAGTCGGATATAGTAAACTAACACAGTATCAAGGTTGTTACTAAATTCATTGGAAGAATTCGCAAATAGAAATTTGTTTCTTACGGGCAGAAATTGACTTTCGCGGTTACTCCTTTTTAGAATATTGCATGTAAATAATAGTGTTCACATGAAGTATGGGACCACTCCTTCTGGCATTTGACCATTTTGTGGGGGAGATACCAGAAGATATCTCCTTATATCATGCGAGCGGACTATTAGATTGATTTGACTTTACCAAGCCTAGATCAATTCCGAAGATGGCACACATTGGTCCACTCCTTCTGGTACCTCCCTCCCTCAAAGAGGGTAAATGGTCAAATTTTGCTGAAAATAAAATTCTGCGAACGGACTATCAGATTTGACTAAACTTTGCAAGAGTTATTAACATTACCAAGCCTAGATCAATTTCAAAGATAGCACCCATTGGTCTACTCCTTCTGGTACATCCTACATAGAGGGTAAAAATTTTCAATTTGATCTAAATTGTGTACAGCTTAGAATTTCTTTGAAATACACATTACATTCGGAGATGGCGAAATCGGTCCACTCTTTCTGCTACCTCCCCCACAAAAAGCCAATTTTTTTGTGGAAATTTTATTTTAAAATATCATGCGAACAGAGCATCCGATTCAAACCATACTTTGCACAACCTATTACATATTTCAATCATGCCGGTATACTGTTGGGATATGGGACTTATCGGTTCAGATTATATAGAGCGAACGGAATATTAAATTTCAACCAAACTTTGAACTTCGTAATGTGTTTATCTAAGCCTAGATCGAATCCAAAGATGGAACTCATCGGTCTACTCTTTCTGGTACCTGCCCCACAATGGGTCAACATTTTGAATATTTTTTAATCTGGTTGAATATTTGTTGCACACCTTCTGGTACCTTGCCCACAAAGTGTCAACATTTTAAATGTAATATCTGATTTCATCCAAACTTGGTCGAGAATAGAATAATGGGCTATAGGACAGTCAAATCTGGAACCTCTTCAAATATGGTATAAGCCATAGTCTGAGGGTATATATTTGCCGGCAACACCGACTGACAATATTTTATTTTTATTTATTTCAATTTTAACATCTATAACATGTATTTATAGGCCGGGTTTCGACTGTGAATTCACGACTTTTAACTATTGCCAGTTCACAACACGAACATGATATTTTACTTAAATTGAATGTAAGAGCTGGATTGGGAGGAACTGAAATTAGTTCTATAAATAGACTTTGAAATGCCTATCACTGGACCTTAGATTTCTCATATTTTTAATTTTTTAGATGCAGAACCACTTTTTTGTAGATTGTTAATGTCAATGCATACGATATTTATGCTCACATCACGTGAGTATTACACGTATACTTGTGGTGTTTGTATATTTGTATGTGTTGTAGTTGTTGCTTTTGCCGGCAACTCATAATCCAAAGGCTCTAAATTCGTCTGAATTTAGACTTCACAACAGATCCTTCGTCCTTGTGGGAATCTGTACAAAAGTACTAGAATTACAAAAATTTGCTAGGTAGATATATAGATAGATATCAGGTTATGGAAAAAGAAATCCATTTTTTGTGTGTTTTAGCTACAGTGCGATGTTACGACGGCTAACATGCCGGTCAACTTCGATAATTTCTCCGATTTAATCTACATTTTCGTGGACCGGACTACCTGTGCGAGGTACGTCATTAACATCAAAAATTCCCGGATGAAATCTACGAAACCAAAATTGCACATAATTGGCTGTTAGAGCATCGGAACCATATACACCATTCACAATTTTAGCCGTTTGGCTTGCATTTTCGCCTTTGTCAAGAAAAACTGTAAATTGTACCAAATTTTCTCATTGTACACTTTAATTTTTAATACCCTATAACTCACAACTGAATGCACCAAACAAATACAGAATTTTTTTTTTACTGCAAAATGCCACCCTTCCAACGATCATAAATCTGATATTGTTTGATCGATAATTTACGAGAAATCTATCAAAAAAATAATTCCTATATAAAGAATTATAAAATTCTCAAATAAAAATAATTAAGTTTTTTTGAAATCAGGCTTTCAAATTGATTGACCACCACTCGGGTAGTATGGATGTTCGCCTGAAAACATATATCCGTATAATCGGGACTATATGTGTAAGATTTTCAAACGGATACGCTACCTAATCGTTTCCCACATCGACTTGGTTTCTACGAAAAATATCCTTTACAAATACTTCATTTACAATAGTTCGTAAAAATGTTAAATACTCACCTGAAAATAAGAACTACATGCTGACAGCACAATTTTATGTGCCTGTAATTGTCGTCCCTCCGCGGCTAATGTTACATCAACCAATGTACCATTGTGTAGCAGTGATGAACAGACCGATATAAAGTTTGGTTGATGATTGTTCCAACGTAAACAAAATTGTTGCACGGACATGTTGTTGTTGTTGGTTTTGTTTTTGTCTCTTCAGAATCTTCAATGAAATGACGTCGTTTCTGATATTGTTGTTACACCAAAGTTAGTTTTGGATCCATGCGACAAACATTACATTCCATTTGGCCAAAGATATGTTTGATTCTGGTACTAATCTACTTGGGGGTATTTTATTATTATCCGTTTATTCGATGGCCGAAAAATGAACATCAATTCTTCGACCGAGAATGATGACGCAACGCTTTATTTTCCTCAATCACAGACACTCGCACACCACCGATCCGTTCGATTAAATTATTCTTTATATTGGATACAAAAATGTAGTTCTTAGCTTCCAAAGAAGCTAGAGAGCTGCTTAGGCTAATACGAATTTCCTTATTTCGCTAAAATTTAATTAAAAATACCTTTGCAATATATCAAGAAATGAGAAATTATTGATAAGGTTCGATAGCACAAAAGTGGAAGAAAAAGAAAGAGTTCTCGCCGTGTCTCGTTGTTGGAGGAGGCACACAAAACGAACAAATCCGTAATGAAAAATACCAACCAACCAAAATACACACACACACTCATACAGCGAAACGAAAACAACAAATTCTCAGTCGTTGTCGACGACTCCAACGACGTTGTGTAGGAGCGAGCACGGAACGATACAACACAGAGAGGCGCGGGTGCGATTAATATTTTGACGTATTGTCTGACGTCGGTTTATTTATTCTTTTCTATTCGTTTTGTTTGTGTGCTGCTTCCCGTCGTTCACTAAGAAAATCAGTAGAAAAAAACATTTGAATAAAAATAATTCTTTCTCACACCGTTCATCACCGTATTCATTGTTCAGCATAGTCTTGACACCACACCAACCCGGCCACACTATCAACAATCTCGCTCGCACACACACACACACACCAACGCACTCACTGGGCTTCTTTCTTTGATTTTCTACCGACCGTCGTTTGGTGTTAAACTTGATTTGTTTTTTTGTTGTTATTGTTTTGTCTGCTTTCAAGAATGATTCTCCCCGCAATCAAATATTTTACTTTTTATTTTGTACATATTTTTCTGGCTGGAGCGTGTTGTTTTTGCTTGGCGATAATTAAATTCATTATCTGAATGTTGTTTCTATATACACAGACGCACACTATCGAACGGGCGAGCGAATCATTCTTCTCTGTTTTGGCAACAAACGTCAGAATTAAAATTACCAAAATACTGTATGCGACAACAAAAAGAAGGAATCAAGCAAGCTCACACAAAATAACACAGTCAAAGGGGTAATTTTTTTGTTATTTTAGTGTTGGTAAAATGAAACGTAGAATACAGGGTTGTAAAAATATGTATTTTATTCTTTCACTTTATCTTTATTTTTATTTACTTTTCGCACATTAGAACAAGGTAGATTTTTTTGTTTATGTTATTTTCCAATGACGTCATTATCACTTTTATTTAATATTACAGTTGGTTAGATTTGCAAAACGGCTTGTTATGTTGTTGTTTCTAACGCAGTTGAGAGACTGTGCGCCAGCCATCTATATGCGTATGTTGTGTGTATTTCAGTGTTGCAAATAAATGTGCATATGGCCATAATGATGAATGACGTCGCCACAACAATGGACAACATGGGCACAGTTGCAGCATATAAAAGCCAACAGATTACAAAAAGAAGAACTCAACTAATTAAATATATTTCTATAACATATGTTATTCAATGCAGAAAATTACACTTTTTTGGACATCAATATTCTTTAGTTTTCGGACATATTAAGGTAAAACCACAAATCCAAAATGGCGCGATGTTCTTCATACTATTTGGCAAAATATTTACACTTGAAAATGCTCAATTGCTTTACATTGTAATACAAAACCACAATATTCCACTTTGTGGACACACCGAAATGTTGCGTTGGCGTTGCTATATTTCGTTTCACTTGCAATTTTAATATTAAAATAAAAATATCAATTACAATCTGCACAATAATTCACGAAATATGTATTAGGGATAACCAACTCGACTTTTGATTAATCGACTTTTTTCGTCTAAAGTCTAAAAATCGAAGTCGACTTTTGACAGCAGCGATAATCACAAAATCGATTTTCTGTTGTGACTTTTCGATTTTTTCATTCTTAAGCGGTATACACACTATCATTTTTGAATGACACTCTTGCTGAAATATCGGCTTGCTTTCTCTGAGTCATTAAAGGGCTCAGCAGAATGCTCGCCATCCGTTGCGTTAAGTGTTATCGAAAATATAACAACCACAAGGAAACGATAACACAAACGCTCGAAGTTGATGTGCGCTGCGCTTCGGAGTTAAATATATTTTAACTTTTTGCGTGCGTTAACGCGATAACAAAAAAACGCTCAACGCGAACATTCTGTTTAGCCCTTAAGCAACCACAACAATTTTTATGGTTGCGTGCCAGTCAAACTATAAATTTCTACAACAACATGGACTTCGAAAACGAATTTTTAATGGAATTCCTATATTGCTATGAAATGCAACGGTGTCTCTGGGACATAACCAACGGACAATATTTACCAGCCGAATATTTGGTGGTTTGAGTTGTGCCAGTTTCTTCAGAGATATGAGAAGAGGAGGAGCCACTATTTTTAAGAGATAATCGAAATTGTCATCCGACATTTTAAAATAGTTTTTAAAGTCCATGGGCTCTGAGTCTCGAATTTCTTTTAATATATTCATACATGGTACAATTATAAAAGGTAACAGCAAATCCCAGCTGATTTGATTCCAACGTAATACTAGTGTCAATATGAATTTGACAAGTTATGTTTTTAAAAATCACCCAACAGAAAAATTGGGAACGGATACAATTTGAAATTGTTCTTTATTAAATGTGCTCCCGTATTCAATTTACTCAATCTGCCTGCTGGGAAAGTTTGAGGAAGCAAATCTTTCTTCAAGGAATAACTCGCTATTCCCAGCATTTTCATATGTGTTATACATATATATGGCAATGGCTCAATTATAGGAAAGATGTGGAAGCGATAGAAATATAAATTTGATAGCTTTTCATTCATGTTTTTCAATTTTTATTTTGAGGATTCGAAAATATTTCATTTTCAAAATAAAAATAATTTGATGATAATTTGTTTGTTTGTTTACATTTTTCTGTCAAATGAGTTGACACTAGTAGAACTTACAACAACAAATTTACATGTGGTTGTTGTATCGTTTTTTTTACAACAACACTTGCTGTTACCTTCTATTATTATACCATGATATTCATATGTGAATGTTGTTTTCGCGAGACTATCCATTTCTTTACCCATTTCATTGTTTTAATAAAATTCTTTTCGTCATCTAACAACGCAATTATTAAAAATGCACACCCAATTTTTTGTCATCAATGTTATTAATTGATATATTTACTTTTTTAGGAGAGCCAGCTTGATCCCTTTCTTGTTGTTTTAAAAAATAAAAAACACAAGATTTTAATTTTTAAAGTGGGTTATGGTCACATAGATTACTTTCGGGAAAGCAAAAAACTAAGAGAACTGATGAGGATTTGTGGCGAAATTCGAAACTATAGTCTTCTCTGCCTTTCCCGAAAGTAATCAATGAGACCATAACCCACTTTAAAAAAAAAAATACTTTCGTTTTGTTGAAAAAAGAGCGAGACAATAGTTATTACACAGAACAATGAAAAAATAACAGTTCTGTGAAGAATTTTCGTTTTCTCGAATCAGCGTCATTTCATTTTAAGATCGGTAAGGAAAGAAAAGTAAAATGTGTACAATATCTATTTACATTTTTTAGAAAATTGTTGACCATCTATGTGCCGGAACCCTCAAAAATATTTTTTATTTATTTTTTACAAGGAACACAAAAGACAGCAGCAAAAACCACGAGTGAGTTTAGGAGCCCATCTCGGATTTTTCTGCAATTCTCTGATCACAAAAATGTACAACTTTTATTTAAGAGAAATCTGAAATTTTATCCATATAGTCATGGCATAATTATGGAAGGTAGTCTCATTTGAGAAATTGATAATGGCAACCCTTTTTATATGGAATTCAATGGTCTGTTCCAGAACCTGCAAGATACAATTTTTTACTACGATAACAATTTTTCTTTATGATATCGGAAAAATAGTAAAAATTAGTAGATTCTTGCATAAAATGTTACGCATGGCAATTGGCAATTTTTCAAGAAATTAGATTGATCTTGTCTCCCTGATCACAAAAATATATGACATTCATGGGGAAGTCCATACTTTCCGAGATATGGACTTCTGAAGTTCAGGAATTCATATGCTCATAACTTCGTCATTTATGGACCGACACTGTATTGAAAAGTCTGAAAAAAGTCGAAGTCCACTTTTCAAGATCGACTTTCGATTTTCTTCATTAATACTTGGTTTATTGTCAAGCTAAGTTTTCCCAAAAATTACATATTCCAGAACTTTAGTTCGTATGATGACAACAAATAATATAAAAAATAAAATTTGTAGTCGATTTTGCATTAATAGGTAAAATTCGAAAATCGATTTTGAGCAGGTTTGTCAGAATCGAAAGATCGAAAAGTCAACTTTTTGTCAGAGGCAAAAATGGAAAAGTCTAAAACGGCATTTACATTAGAACTTTTATCGGGTTAATCTACATTATGAGGATTTATTTGACATATATGCAATGGAATTGACAATTATAACCCACTTGGTTAACGAAATCCGGTATAATGTAAACCCCATTTAAAGCGGTGTATAAACTAACATTTTTGAATGACACTCTTGGCTAAATTTTGCTTGTTTGATATGTTTGTCATTCATCAGGCAACCACAAAAATATTTATGGTTGTCAGTAATCAATAAAGCGGTGTACACACTATCATTTTTGACTGTCAGTTTTTTATCGATTACTGACTGTCCAAAAACCATAAATATTTTTGTGGTTGCCTGATGAATGACAAACATGTGAGGCCACACTATCAAACAAGCAAAATTTGGGCAAGAGTGTCATTCAAAAATGCTAGTGTGTACACCGCATAAAAAAAGCTGTCACTCAAAAGTGCTAATTTATACATCGCTTAAAAGTCGACATTT